AGAGAGAGGCGGCAGGGTGGATCAAGGATTTTCGGAAACGGAGCGAGTCAATATCATAGTGGATTTGATTTCGGCAATTAGTCACATGCAGACTCGCTTAATTGGAGGAAAGCGACAAAGCATAAAAGGAGAATAAGAACTAGAAAGAAAAAAAAATCAGAACGTTTTTTAATCCTTCTTTTTTCTTTTTCATTGTTTCTCCTCCCTTTTCTCCATATACGCTCGTTCACAATAATGCCCCAGCCCCTAGGCCTACTGAAGGAGAAAAGAAATGTGATCTTTATTTAAAGATGAAGTCCGATTGAGAAGCATTTACAGTTTCATATGTTTATCAATTTCAAGCATCTTTTATTGAACTTGTTGACAATATAGTTTTGTATCAGTTTCTTTCGGGTTGATTGTAAATAAATGATTTGCAAAGATCATTTTTGAACACGACACCGCTCAGAACTCATGGACTTAAATTTGTAATCCATTTTCAAATTCATTATTATCGTCATTGCAATTCAATTCATGGACAAAGTAGAAGAAAATTATCCAAGTATTTACAAACGTAATGTGAAATACTAACTGAAGTCACCAATCTTGCAATTCCCAGGATCAATTAATGTAAGCAGACAAAGTACCTTGGTGTTGTGATCCAGAACGACCTCCGATGGAATGGCCAAACTCACCTCGCAACAACAAAAGCTATTGGGGTTTTGAGTTTTCTGAGACGCAACTTTCATCACTGCTCAACTTCCATTAAGGAGAAACTCTATATCTCACCCTCGTTAGGCCACACTTAGATTATGCAGTTGCTGCTTGGGACCCATACACAGCTAAGAACATTTCTTCTATCGAACGAGTCCAGAGGCAGGCAGCCCGTATATCAGAGAGAAGCAAGCGTCACCCACCTTCTAAATTCTCTTAAGTGGAACTCCCTCCAAGACAGACGCGAAGCTCACCGTCTAAGCTGTTTCCACAAAATGTTACATGGCCAGCTGGACATAGATCCCCGAACCCACATTAAACCTAAACCAGATCGTAGCAGACGCGGGCACTCAAATCAGTTTGAAATACCATTAGCCAGATTGGATGTATACAAGAACTCATTTTTTCCTCGCACAACCGAAGCATGGAATAATCTCAATCCGACCTTAGTATCCCTGACTGACTCAGCAAAGTTTAAAGTAGCACTCCTTCCGAAATAAGTCCACTCTCTGCCACCACGACCTCCAGTTTAAATTCCACTAGGAATCTTTTGGAGGAACAACAACCAAGTACCAAGTAATGTACTAATTTTGTTTATAGAATAGAATAGAATAGAATTTATTGACTCATTCGACCCCCTTCTGGGGTATGAGAGTACAACACATGTACATGTCATGATAATGATACATAATAAAGAATACAAACATAGCTTAATAATACAAAGAATACAGAATACAACAAAACAACAATATAAAAGTATAACGATAAATAGGAATGATCTAAACCTAGCCTATGCTAAACATAAATACAATATTATACAATATGGCAAGCATACATGAAAAGTGGAAAATACCACATGAACAATCTAAATACAAACACAAAGAAAAAGAAAGATAAAAACAAAAAATAATTTTACAATTTTTTTTTTTGTTTAAATACATTATTGTCTTAACTAAAAAAGAAATTATAAGTTTCATTTTTGTACATGTAAGTGAGTTGTGATTGGATTGTTAAGATATATGCAGACTAACAAAATACGCCATAATTGTCCATTGGACAAACAAAAACATAATGGAATATAATGTAATAAGACAAACAAAACAAAAAGTATACTAACAAAAAAAAAACAAAAAAAAAAAAAAATGAACAAAAGAACAAACAAACCATCAAAACTATACTTGACCTAAAGAAAGACTGTACTACAGATCAAGAATTGTTGGTTGCTTAATTAACCTACCACTTCGGGTTGTAACATTTCTTTTTATGGGCGACATATGATTGGATTGTTCAGATTTACATGTATATAGACGAGCAAAATATGACATTATTATCCTTAAGAAGAGCACTAATTTCTTCAGCTGTCCTATACCGGAACATGAAAATAAATTCAACATGTGTGATGTGCAAGGGCGTTTAACTATTACTTTGCGACCTAAATATAACTCTCTTTCCTTTCTGAAAAAAGGGCATACAAAAACATAATGGAATTCATCACCAGACTCATGCATATCACAACATGGGCATTCAATACTAATTTCATTAACAGCTTCTTTGAATCTGTTATTATTAATTGGTAAACGGTGTGACCTACATCTAAAACGGCTCAGTGTTATTCTATCTTTTTTACTCAGCAAAACTAAATACCTTTCAAGGAGACAATCCTCTTTAAATATCCTATAATTTAGGCACACACTGTTTGTCCAAATTGTTGCCATCACATCTTGTTTTGAAATATCGTTTACTCTCAACTTCAGAGTGCTCAGTATCCAACTATTGCTAAATCCTTCCCCTTGCTTTAGCCAAACAATACCAAGACCAGCATGGTTCAATATTTTTTCAATACAAGATAACCACTTGAAAGAAGTAGACATATCTACATTCTGACTAATTAACCTTTGCAAAAAATAAAATTTGACTGAATATTTAGAGGGAGAACCTTTTACTATTCTTAACCAGAAACTAACCATTCGATGTTTGATACTGTTAGCTAGCCATGCCCTCCCAGTTTCTCCATCTATCATACAATCTGGTGTAAATTTATTTACACATAACGCTGACCTGAGAAATTTTCTATGGAATATTTCAATTTGACTCAGATCTTCATATCCCCACACTTCGCATCCATAAATGAGTATTGGTAATACAAGTTGGTCAAACAATTCACATTGAATATCCAGTGGCAGTTTGAGTCTTTGAACCTTTAATGACATAGAGAAGAGGGCTTTCCTGGCCTGTGATACCTGTTTTGAAATAGCCTTTTTAAAACTTCCATTATAATTAACCTGAACCCCAAGATATACAAAATCATCCACAACATCAATTTCATCTTCTCCAAATCTGAAAACTGGAAATTTACGTACTTTGCCTCTTGAAAATATAAGTACTTTAGTTTTCATAGCATTAACACTTAACTTCCAAATTTTACAATACTGAGACAAGGCATTCAAAGCCACTTGCAATTCCTCTGCTGTGTCAGCCAATATTAGGGTGTCATCTGCGTACAACAATGTGTATAATTGTAAGAAAAGATCTTTGTTTACTTCTTTATCTAAAATGTCAGCACATACATTTTCAACTAAAAATTTGAGACCTTTAAAGTGTTTACTGAGAAAATCCTCGAAATCATTAAGATATATTGCAAAGAGCAGTGGTGATAAGTTTTCACCCTGCCTAACACCAACATCGCATTGAAAAGCCTCAGACATTTGACCATCTACTATCACGCACGATTTTGCTTGAGAATACATATTCTTAATAACTGTGAACACCTTACCATCCACCCCTGACCTCAATAATTTGTGCCAAAGTGAAACCCTATCAACCATATCAAAAGCTTTTCTATAGTCTATAAAAGCGCAGTAAATTCTCTTCCGTTTAGACAAGTAAATGTCAAGCAGGGATTTCAAAACAAAAATATGGTCTGTTGTAGAATAGCCAGCACGAAAGCCAGCCTGTTCTTCTCCAAGCTTGCATTCATTTTCGAAATAAATTGTTATCCTATAATTCAAGATGGAAGTAAACAATTTTCCCAAACAGCTTAAAAGTGTTATCCCACGATAGTTATCTGGATCTGTATCCTTTCCTCTATTTTTGAAAATAGGGACTATACTACCTAGACACCAGTCTTTTGGTACTAGACCACTCTCCAGTATTACATTAAAAAAAGCAGTAATACAACCAATTACAGCTGCTGAACAATTTTTCAAAAACTCATTTCTAACCAAATCTACACCACATGCCTTATTATTCTTTAGTTTCTGGATAATCTTTATAACTTCATCAACCGAGATAGGGGCATTCAGCTCATCATTGCCCATTGACTGGTCAAAATCCACATAATGTGTTTCAGATGCTGCACATTGCACATTATTCAAACTACTAAAATGATGCACAAAATCATCTAAAGAGACCTTGGCTGGACAAGAGCTACGCCTCGGTCCATCCAAAATTTTCCAATACTCTTGAGGACTATCCTTCTTAAGTATATGAAGATTGTTGTGTAAGAGCCTAGTGTACGCTTTTTCCTTTCTACGTAGCAATTTCCTATAATCTTTTGCAACAGCATTAATTTCAGCCATTTTTTGTTCTTTATCACTCAAAGTTAGACCTTTGCACTGTCGTTTAACTCTATTTTTAGATTAAAATATCTTGATCTGGCATGCTGACACTCTGTGTCAAACCATGGTTTCTTCTCCACGATAAGTTTCCTAGAATGAATTTTCTTACAGACTTTATCCTCACATATACCGACTTCCTTTGCCGTCTTCAAAAATGAATTTGCCAATACAGTACTAAAATTATCCATATTACCTTGTGTCGATGACTTCTCAACCATTTCCAATGCATTCATCAGTACTGGAATACTTTGATCAAGTTTCAACTTAAATTCAGATGCCTTCTCTTTAGAACACTTAAATGAAGTGTATTTCACTTTTTCGGGAGCATCAACCCTATTTGTAATTTTTCTCAATTCAACATCTTCATTTATAGGAATCAGTTTATTTGAGAACATCAGATTCAATGGACAATGTACATCTGAAACACACTTATCAAAAATGTCAACCTCAAAATGAGTAATATATTGAAATAAACTAACAGATGCAATGACATAATCAACCACACTTTTCCCTCCATTTTTATTGTAACATGTAAAGCTACCAACACCCTTATCACTACCAAATCTCCCATTCACTATCTATGCGTATAATCATAATTATAGATTCTTTTTTTCTGCTTCCGATTTTTGTACATACAATTCCAAGCCACCATACTAGAGAAACATATACCAAACGAACAACAAACAACAACAACAAACTTGATGCACGCGATCTCTGGACCTGTTTGAGATAAAGCTTTTCGGAAACGATTTAGATCTACCGTTTTATATTGGAAGGGTAAGTAATGTTACGAAATTAATATGTTTCATCATGTCATGCTCATGCATTTGTAACTCAACTAGCCTTTTGACCATTGAAATTGTTGCTTCTGCCAATCAATCGAGAACTTCGCTCGGAGTTGGAGAAGATGCGCGTGCGAGTGGCAGTAGTCAGCAGACGGCACGTCTCGACCATCACCCCGGCGTTGCGGGGGCGGATCCACCTATGAATTACTAAATTTCGTGTAAGAATTGATTTCTGGGGCGTCGCGTTGTTGATCGCCTGGCCTGATCTGGGGAAAAATTGAAAGTTGGGGGTGCGTCTTATACACAGGTATAAAATATTACGTACTGACAATGTCAATGACATTTCCGGGGTGTTTCATAATTTTAAAGCTGTTTGTAAAGTCATGCGTACGGTATTACTTTACAAACTCTTTATGAAACGCCCTCCAGGATATTGCCATTGAACTTAAGTTGCGCCTTGTTTTTTTATAGTTTAGTTAAATAGATCTAGATTTCTAGGTCCTCTCTCACTTATATTCAAAGCCACTCGAGCCGATCTGCCAATGGGAGAGCGTAAACTCACTGTACAGCGCTCAATGCGCAAACTTTTTTGCGCATGAGATAAGACTGAGAGTGAGAGCCATGAGTCTGTGAGCATGGTTAGGCTGGCTCTTAGCTCTTGAAGAGGCCCTTGTCATTTAAGATTGTGCATTGACAGAAATGGCCATCTGTAGTGGTATGGGAAATTGTTTAATAAAATTGACATTAGTCTAACTTCCCCATAGCCATAGGTCATACCCAGACATTATTTATTTATTTTTCTGCTTAGACTCTAGTCTAAATATGGGCCAATATGGGCAATTTTTGTTTGCAAACTTGTCATTAGATTAAACATGGCAAGTTTAAAACAAACTGTATGCAATAGACTCTACTACAGAAATGTGCTAACATGTATCACACCATTGGAATATATTTTAGCAGTTTTCGAAATTCAAGGAGACGTTTTGATATCTGAACACTTTCAGAATTAAAGCTAATTCATGAAATGTGATTTTTGTTGTTCTTCTCCAGAAGCAGGTACAATCAAGAAGTATGCTCTCGCGTGTTACTAGCTCCTTCGTCAAGGTACAGACATGTGCCTGTTCTCAGGCATGCAACATCCAATTACAACAACAACAACAAGGATGCAGGAAGATCCAGCTAGCCCCGAACAATGTCATAGCTGCCAGTACACAACATGTAAGGTCTTTCTCTTCCAAAAGCTTTCAGACTTCAAACTCAAATTACCTCAATGTGTTGCATTCAAGTTCAATACTCGTGTCACAGGGTATGTTAAAAACTGCTGAAAGACTTAGTTGTTTACAACTCCGCCACAGCTCACAGTATGTTACTGGGGCAAGGTACGTGGAGCAGCTAAAAGAGAATGATGACATTTGTGAAGCAGCGCTAAGAAATGGACAGTTTGCATTGTTCTACGATCTGAGGGCTTTCATTCAAGGTGACGGTGCTTCAAAAAGAATGAACCTTGTTTGGAGAGGTGCTGACGGTAAGTTTTAAAGCCTGTCTGCATTTTTTGGCCAGGGGGGGTGATTAGACCTCCATGCAAGGTCACTGACAGGTGGTTATCTCCTCGAATCAGCTCTCAATAAACATAAGAAAAAAAGGGGATCATGGGGGACAAACAGGCAATGATTAAGCATTGTTTGCTATATAGAGGGCGCAAGTAGCCCTAAGTAGTGCAGTGGGGCTTTAAATCAGAAAGAAGTGATGTTGGCAAACAAAATGTCATCGATTTTAATCGAGCACCTTACAAGGTGTACTTACTTCTTTTTTGTTTGCAGCTGTAAACAAACTAAGGCTTAAGTAATGAACTCAAAAGAGTGAATTAGAGCTAAATATCGTTGATGCCTGCTTTTGGGATTTATATAAAACGGATAAAGGTAAACCAAATAATCGAGGTAAAGGATTTTCAGATTATTATTGAGCTTGGTACATGTATGTTCTTAGGATATAATTTGTAATCACGACCAACATTTTCTAAAAAGAATTAGACTGAAAAATTGTAAAGAAAAGTGTAAATATGATTTATCTGTCAGGCTCAAAAGAATATTACAGTAAAATAATATCATAGACCATGACATAATGACGTATATAACCTATCAGAGCATAAAGGTATTGTCGCTGTCGAGACTAAATCAGTTCTCTTCTATCACTTGTAGACATGAAACAGGTGCTTGGGATAGTTGATGGGATGAAGCTCACCGATGCAGTACTAATGAATTCCACTGGCAAGGACCCTGACCAACCAGCAAGGTTTGCTATCAACATTCCTAAGGCAGATGACACACTCCAGCAGTCGTTAGAGAGATTAATGGATGCAGAGACCATTGGGATCAGGAGGGCGCTGTTTACCCTTGGCAGGGGATATCTTCATGAATATCTACAGGTAATTTTTATGATTTCAAGTGCTTTGTGTGCACTACATAGTCTAGGACTGTATCGGGTCCTTAAGAATATTATTTGGATTTGCTATTGCTTACAAATTTACGTAATTCTTGCATTAAGAGTTCAATTAAGGCCCTCTGGTTGTTGTAATATTTGTTTGAAAATTAAAAGGCTCCCCAAAACTATTTATATTGCTTCTAAATCCATTATCAACAAAAACTGTCATTTGTCACTGATGACAAGTCTTGTGAAATGGGGCCCTGATGACTGTGTTTGGTTGTATTTATCATTAGTGCAGTCCTGTGTCCTTGATACAGAACTTACAGAAGAATGATGGTGAAGTGGTGTTGTAATTGGAACCATTGCAGAGAGCAACAGGGACTTGGTATCTTCCCAATGCCTTGCCTTGCCCTTACTATAGACCCTAGGTTTGTTCATCCTTTGTAGTTTATAGATGTGCCGGGCAAATTGATGGTAAAGGAAAGATGGACGACCAGCCTTCTTGGAGCTGAACCAGGGCCCATATTCATTTCAATACTTAAGTACGAAATTCAAGCTTTTTACTTAGTATTTGGCTTACCTGGTAGATAAAATACTTAGCCAATTTTGGTATTCAATTCAGAGTATTGTAACCTAAATTTAAGACAGCTCTCTACCAGACTTATTAGGAGGCCTTGATTGGCAGGCAGGCATATGGTTATATTATGCAGTATTACAACCTGCGAAAATTATATTAACACACATTTATTGCGACGCATTGATTGCGCATTGCTTTTGATTGACTGTGTGATGTCACAATGCTTATCAAGTTTTTACTTAGATTTGGTCTCAGGTAAGTACTAGTCTAAAATACGATTTGAATACAAGATAGTAAACTTCGTAGCTTAGCCATTTACTGAGTACATTTCTTAATTATTTTAAGTATTGAATTGAATACCGGCCCAGGGTCTTCTGTTTATTTGTTGTTTATTTGTTGTTTATTTGTTGTATGTTTCTTTTGTTTATTATTTTTATTTTATTTTTCTTTTACTTTTCTTTTCATGGAGCTGTGTTCTGTGAATAAAGTTTACCTGAGCACATTGTGAGATTCCAGCTTCAGCAACCAATACTTTGGACATGCCCAGCCCTTCCCTGTACCATGATCAATTATTTTAGGATAATGTAACTTTGTATATATCACAGATAGTAACGTGAACTTGTTCTTTTGACAAATAAGATTAATTTCCATTTTGCTTTTACTACTTTGGTTTATTTCAAATAGGCCTATGCTCTGTTGCAGTGGCATTCTCTTCAAACATTCTGTTCAAAGTGTGGGGCTAAGAATAAGAAGAACTTGGCCGGAAGTCGCCGCATCTGTTCAAGTTGCTCTGAAGTCCATTACCCGACGGTAGGTTCTTGCTTCACATGTATTTAACTATTGTATTGTCGAGGTGTCGTGGTCGAGTGGATATGTCACCGGACTGTAGATCACAAGGTCCGCGGTTCAAATCCAGTCGCGGCACTAATGTCCTTTGGCAAGACATTGATCTACTTTTGCCACAGTCCACCAAGGTGTTAAATGGGTACCCGGTAGGATTCGAAAGTTAATGTTGTTGGATTAGCAAGTGGTGCTTGTAAATGGCGACTGTCTGTAATGCTCCTCAGGGCGTGAGAAATGTGCATACATTGTGTTGCGGGTAAGCCTGAATCCGATGACCGGGGTAATATGTGATGCGCCTATAAAACAAAGTATTAAGCGCATTATAAATGTGAGCTTTTATTATTATTATTATAGGGCTAGGTTGTTGTTTCAGAATTTGATTTAGTTCATGTTAGATCTTTAGAGTTGAGGAGAGAGTTGAGAAGAGGATTCGCTAATTCGCTTAGCTGTAGCATTATCCATTATCTGTCCATTTTGTCAGACTATTCATCAATTACATTACATTCTACTATAACCCCTACAACCCACTCCAGCAAAGCATAGAGTCAATGCTAATGCGTATTGACCTCTAGCACTGCGTACTTGCTGAGAGGCAGGTATAATACACAAATACACACACCACACACTACTGCATAAACTGCACACAATAGAACTGATGTGGCTGATCGGCAAATTTGATACTAGATTTACAATCTGAACTTTTAAATTATTCTTTTTAAAGGGATAGTTGAGTTCTGTTGCAGAGGGTGCTACATAAAATATTTTTTGTGAGATAATGAAAAACTGAGTGTCAAATTTGAAAGAACATAATTTTAAATGACAAAATCATCTCTGTTTGATCAAAATCGGTTGAGAGACGGCTGAAATATAACGATTTCTAATACTTGAAAAATTGGAAAAAACTGTTCTACGTCGTATTTCAGCCATTGCCGATGTTAGCTCTTTTATTGGCATTTTCGTGTTGCTTATATTATCCACAATTAGCCGGCTCATGTATTGTTATTTTAAATTAAATAATGAATTAACGGTCATCGTGTTTTTTTGAAAATAGAGCTGAATTGGTATGATTGTATTGGCTAAATTTCACACATTTTGGGGTCTAAAATTACCTTAATAGCAATTTTAGGTTCTAAAAGGGCACTATAAATGTCATAGATAACCATGTACTTTGAAGGCATTTGCGGTCTGAAAACAGAACTCAACTATCCCTTTAACATCAGTAAGTTGAAAAAATTGTATTTTACTGCTATTTAGGTATCAATTGTTACTAAAGTACCAATTTTTAGTGAATTAAGTTGAGTTTTGTTCAGTGGTATTTGAAATGTTGAGAATCAATAATAATACACAGCCAAGATAGTAATGCAGCTGTGTGTGCTTCAACCCTCATGTACATACATGTAGTAATTTTAGTCATTTTACAAAGATTTTTTTTTGAGGGATTGCTGATTTAACAGCACATGAGATAGAGCTTGCATTGCAATTTGCCAACATCAATTATAACTAGTGGCAATATCGGTGTCCACGTCATCTGGCACTTATGTAGTATAAAGTGTTATTCTACTCCTTAAAATGGCCTTAAAGTCCTTGATCAAAAGTCCTTAATCTTTATTATATGCACAAGTGCACTCACTTTTATTGAATATGCTCACACTTTGATATAAATTTTTCTATTACCAGATGAAACCAATAGTCATTACCCTGGTTACGAATGGGGACAAGTGTCTGGTTGCTAGGCAACCACAGTTTCCAATTGGAATGTACAGCGCGTTGGCTGGATTCTGTGATATGGGTAGGTAATTTGAAATAATCTCTCTCGCTCCTCTCTCTCTCGCTCTCTCTCTCTCTCTTTCTCTCTTTCTCTCTTTCTCTCTTTCTTTTCCTATCTGTCTCTCTCCACCCCTCTGTATGTCTCTCTCCATCGCCTTTTTCCTCTTCATGTCGGTCTCACACTTTCTCCTCTCTTTATCTCTCCCTTCAGCTTCCCTCTTCTCACCCTTCCTCCCCCTCCCCCTCCCCATCTCTTTCTCTCTCTATCTCTCTCTCTCTCTCTCTCTCTCTCTATCTATCTCTCTCTCCCTCTCTCTCACACCCTCCCTCCCTCCCTCCCTCCCTCCTTCCCTTTCTCTCTCTCCCTTTTTTCACCCATAGGAATCATGCAAGTTTCTGGTTTAAACATTGTACATGTACATCATTTAATCTTCCATTGTTTCTCACTTAAAACATTTACAGATATTATGGCTCATGAAACTTCTGTGAATCTTGAAAGCTCTTGGATTTTTACATCATGTATGTAATGAAAATGTTTTGAATTCATGTCAAGGAAAACAACTGTATTTTATTTCTAAGATTGATTTGTTTTGTTTGGAATCAATAGCAAACTATTGAAGAAAAAAAAGAAGAAAAAATCTTTCAGTTTTGTGTTGTTTTTCTCAGGTGAAACGTTGGAGGATACTGTAAGACGAGAGGTAGCAGAGGAGGTTGGTCTAGAGGTCGAGGACATCACCTACTGCTTTTCCCAGCACTGGCCTATCCCTAGCAGTGGTCTCATGTTAGGATGCTATGCTACTGTCAAGGAAGATGATCAGGTAACTAGATGGAAACCAAGCCTGATAATTTCAGTGCCAAATGAACCTCTAATACCCCATTTTATAGTGGGCTGATTTTATTGAACGCATCCGATGAAACAGTCACTATGAATGGTACAGAGGAGAAATAGCCGATAGATAAAAGAGAAATACGCGATGACATTCACTTTGTATCGGTGTTACTCCAACGAAACGGCCACTATGAATGGGTTCGGGAGAAAAACACTGATGAAAATGGTCAAGGTTGTTATCTTATTCCGGCTAAAGCTAGTAAACACATGCTTTTACAGAACCAATTGATGAACAAAACAATGTTTAAAACTGATCACTAACAAGCGCAATGCGAGTACAATGGATTTTTGTTTATTGCGATTTACTGCACTGTCTGCCGAATCAAAAATCAAAGCGCACGCCAGCAGCTAAAGAGTGATTGCGCAATAATTCTTCACTTCTGGCCGGCACAGCAAGTGAATTTCACCTGTTTACAGTTTACCTGTTTTCATTTGTTTACATAAGGCAAATTTTATCGGTACTTTCATTGATGTGACTCCGATAGGAGGACTATGAAAGGGGGACTATGAAAGGGGTATAATATGGCTATGGTATGGTTTTAACAAAAGTATTGACCTACCCCTAACCACAAGTTACTCCTATATAGAAGATCTAAATTTTGATAATTATGTTTAAATACTTCCATTTCTAACAGATTCTGATTGACAGGAATGAACTGGAGGATGCCAAGTGGATGGACAGAGAGGAAGTACAAAGTATACTCCAGCAGTCGCCAGGTCAAGGGTCACAGTGGTTCCCTCCTAGATATGCCATTGCCCATCAGCTGATTGCAGGATGGGCCTTCAAGAAATGACCATCTCATTGACTTCCATTCCGGTCTTCCTTACGCAAGTGTGTTCCAATTCAACATATGTTCATCGGGCAGCATTTTACTAAATCGTCATGTTCGCAGATGTCCTATTGAAACGCGTGCATCGGATATTTAAGCACGTTTCAATGGGATGTTGGCACACTTGTACTTTTGACAGTCTAGTGAAACAATGCCCAGATTTACATTCATCCCCTGCAATACATGTAACTAATATTGTGCAATTGAACAAGTTTCATGTCAATCCTTGTGATGTTATTTTTTATTTTTTTTTAGAGAGAGAAATTATTTTAAATGTAAGAAATTTGAATTGTGACTTTGCATTGGTGTCTTCACAGATTTCGTCCATTTTATGTAGCCAATGACAAACCGTACGCTTAGATTTTAATATCTTTGCACTTTTTATGAGGTACCATCTCAGGACTTGTATAAGAAATATCTATACCTCTCTTACAATGGTGCAGTTTTTTTTTTCTCAGTATTTTTTTGTGGAAATTATGATGTCCCATCGCACAAATCTTGATTACCTGACTGCTTTATAGTTCAGTACAGGTGTTTGTGGTCTTATCAGGGTTCTTTTTCTGAGTGTTCGCTACTCAGTTTAGATTGAGCATGAAATATTATTGGTGTGCGCACACATCAGCCCACGCCTTTAACTCATGAATTATTCATGAAGTATGCAAGTAGATCAACAGTAGTATAACTTCAGAATGTTTATCAACAAAGAGCACATGCTTCTCACAAAACTAGTCGCTCATTCAAATCGAATCCATTAATATGTCACAAATTATTAACAATATGAGAGATATTTATATTCATAATTGTCATAATAATCACAAATTATTGAAGATATGAACAAGAGAGAGAGAGAGAAAGAGGCTCTAGCCTGCTTCTGAGCTGGTACCGGTGTTGTTGGAGCTTGAGTTTTAGGGAGAGCCTTGATCCCCCGCGATAACATATTCTCCAATTTAGGAAGGCGGGTGTCATAATCTATCGTAGCAGGCCATGATTTCATTCATTTCATCGGATTGTTTAGATTGTGCATCATTCACAATGTCCAATTCCTTCACTCTATTAAAATGTCTTTGTAGTCCGTAACGTAGGGTTATCATAGATCTTTTACCGTACAGCTCATCACCAGTCGTTCTTCTTACCTCAGCGTAGTACGTTTGAAGAAAGCCGTTTAGTTCATGTGCTGAGAAGTCCTCAATATCTTTAATTGATGTGACTTTTTTCACACAGTATTGACTAAGGATGTTCACCGATAAATTGATCACTGCTTTTGAACAATGAGAATCATTTGTGTCAAAGATTCTGTCTAATTCCTCCTCGTTGAGGGACTGGTATTGACTTGCAGTCGCCATGTTTGGTCAATTGCTGTTTAGTTCAGATGAGATCAAAAATAAATCAAGTCTAGACTGTTTAAGTGTATCATGCTGTCTCTATGTATAGGCCAGGCCAGGCCAGGCTAATGCCATACCCATTGACTGGCTCCACATGAGAAATGTTAATAACTGAATATTGCTTCAAAATCTCATATTTCTAATAATAATGCGAATCTAAAACATCTTTATAAATTAAAGAAAGTTATGAGGAGGTATCCTGGCATAAATTACTTAAATGGAATTGTCTTCTCATTTTCATTCAAAATCATAGCAAATAGGAGTCTCTTTTAATTTCAGAAATGGAAAAGTGCTGAGGGGTTTGTGATTGCAGACTCTTAAACGTTAGACAAAATATAAATATAGGCGTGAAGAAAACGATCTAAGAACGTGAGACGTAGCTGTAATTTACAATTTTATTACGAGCTTTCGGCTTGTGAGGCCTTCTTCAGGTTCTGAAGTGCAAACACATACAAAAACAAATACATTGTATGAACAAATATACATGGCATACAAACTTAATATCACTCAATCTTGTTCAATCAATGCATTTGTTTTTGTATGTGTTTGTACTTCAGAACCTTTTTGAAATGGTTTGGTTGCAATTAACCCATACCCTATATCTTGGAGCCATGAGTCGGAGATTAGGGAGACTTAGGCACCAGTATCCCACAATACCTGTGTTGCTAGTCCTTGAATGAGACATTGGAGCATGCATTTTTTTCCAACTAGTTTTGCTACTTTATTCTGGGATCGGACGGGGAAACTTGTCGTGGTGTCTACTTGGAACTTACTGGTTGTTTCCTGGGGGGGGGGGGGCACGACCCGTCCCGTAGTGCTGCCTGCTGGTTGTTTCCCGCCGTGCATCCTCTAGCAATGTGTCCAGCACTCCCGCACTTGAAGCGATGGCGACACTGTCGACCTTCCCCTTTCTTCCTTCATTTGGCGCAGCCCCATTCAAGTGGAGAGCGTTGTCTTGCTGGGCCTTGTCTTTCACATACAGGAGCTTGATTCCCATCTCGGATGGCTGCAATCTCTGCTTTGATCAGAACCTTAATCTCCTTATGGATGCTGCTCATGTCTATTTTGGCCTCTGATGTTTCCTGTACAGTACTAACTTGGGCTGGCGTCCTCCTCTTGTGCTTATTTAGCCGCTCCGTCTCATTATTGGCGGCAAGGTTGACTTTTTCTAAGAGGTCCTCATCACTGCCTGCCGAGTCATTCAGGTAAGGCTTCATATCATTTCTTACCCCTTTGGTTGTTATGCCGGTCAAGGCAGAGAGCCTGAACATTTCTCCACGAGAGAACTATGATACCGAAATGAAGACCCGGCCTCTTGTGACACAAACATGATCTTTTGTTTCAAGGCGAGCAACCTCAACAAGAAATCATGGGGCGACTCCTTCTGCCCTTGTATAGCTCTACTCAATTCATGGTACAGCTCCGTGGCCTCTTTCTCTTGGTAGTGTGATCTGATGAGCCGAGACTTGTGTTGGGGCACTTGTACTGTTTGTGCTTGATATACATGTAGCGGTAGCATTCTTGCGCGAGTTGCCAACTTGCTGTGTGATGATGTCTGTTACCCAGCTATTGTTCCACACAAAGTTACATTCATTCTAGCCCTAACATTTGAACATGCTGATGTAACTCCAATCTGACATCTGCTGTTTTATACCACATAAAGTTACATTCATTGTAGCCCTAACATTTGAACATGCTGATGTTTAACAAAAACAAAATATATACTTGAGAAAGGTGCTGCCGGTCGTATATTCTCTTCTGTTTCTCCTGTGCCTTCTGTACATTGGCTTTGACTTTTGAGTGGAGCATATCGCCTACAGCCTGGATCTTTTGGAATACGTCATGGATGTTGTCAGATGAAGGGCTGGGAGGGGCTTCAGCTGGGGCAGTGGCTCTCTCCATGTCAATGGGAAACTGGGGTTTCCTGTAAGAGTATATGAACAACTAGAGAACTGCAACATCGCCACTTAACTATTCATTTTATATCCAATTTACATCCATTCTAGCCCTAACATTTTAACATGCTGATGTAACTCCAATCTCACATCTGCTGTTTTATTCCAGAAATCTACATTCATTGTAGCCCTAACATTTGAACATGCTGATGTTTAACAAAAACAAATATATATACTTGAGAAAGGTGCTGCCGGTCGTATATCCTCTTCTGTTTCTCCTGTGCCTTCTGTACATTGGCTTTGACTTTTGAGTGGAGCATATCGCCTACAGCCTGGATCTTTTGGAATACCTCATGGATGTTGTCAGATGAAGGACTGGGAGGGGCTTCAGCTGGGGCAGTGGCTCTCTCCACATCATTGGGAAACAGGGGTTTCCTGTAAGAGTATATGAACAACTAGAGAACTGCAACATCGCCACTTAACTATTCCACTTATATCCAATTGAAAATGAACAGCCTTTCACTTCATGTGCCTATATGTGAACCTACAATGTAATCCAATCAGTTCATCTGTATAGACTAAATGGTTTTCAATGGAGGTTTGACCTCCACCTCCTTGGTCTACTTGCGATTGATCATCTGATGCCAATAAAACCCACATATAGAGCACACATATTTAATACACCAATTGACCCCTTTTATATCTGAACTTCAAAAAAATAGTTATTGGGGAACTACAGTTAACTACTTTACATTCAAAGAAGCTTCATTGCAAACATAACTTCATTCATAGCACAACAAAATTGAACCATTCCTATCAATAACCTGAATTGGAACAGCATGATAATTGTATACCTTATATACAGTGTAATTATGGATAACATCAATAAATGTTATTAATTTTTATTTTCGCAAATTCAAATCCCACATCTGTGAAAAATTAATCGTGTTAGAATTTAATATGTTTATACAAAAATAAGAAAAGGCATTTGAGGTAGATTATCTGTTAAACATCACCTCAAAAGGCGAAAGCTTTGTAGAATCTTGGACACCAGTTCTGTATGCAAACAGAACTGCATCAATCTTGAGGTCCCGGTCCAACTCATCTCCAAGGGGCATTGCCTTTTGCAGACAATTGATGAGGGTCTGATTAAACCTTTCCACGAGGCCATAAGGCCTAAAAAAAAAAATTGATGACTTGGCGTAACGGGTCACTGAAAATTAGGGTAGGTAGGGCGATTTTTGTTGTTTTTGTTGTTGTTGTTGTTGTTGTTGTTGTTGTTGCTCAATGTCCACCTTCCGAAGAACGCTGAATAAAACGTGAGCACCAAATTTACCCGTGAACTGAACGCCATAGGACGCCATGTTGGGGATACAATCACCTAGCGGTACTATGGCGTACCTGCCCGCTGCACTCGGCGCGCGAGCTGGCCCAAACACGGCGCGGCAAAGCCCAGAACGAAAGCAACAAACATCCGGGTTTTCCCCACTGCGATATCGATATTTACGCAATCGCAATCGGATCAAAAAAAATTAAAAAGCGTAGGGTCGGCGATAAAAATAGGGTCGGGCGGGTTACGCCAAGTCATCAATTTTTTTTTTTAGGCCTAAGTCTGTGGATGGTAAGCTGAGGACACCTTATGTTGAGTGTTTGTCAAGGAGAAGAGGCTGGATAAAAAGGAGTTATTGAACTCCTTACCCTGATCAGTAATTATGCTCTCGACAAAGCCCATCCTGTAAATTCAATTAGTAAATCAATGCAAAATTAATATAAGTATAATGCAGGCATTGCATTACTCATATGCAAGCCTTGAAATAAGCGGCCAGGACCAAGGGTCAATTTATTTTTAAAAGTTGCCCCTTGCCCACAGTGATTTAACCAGAACGAGGGGCAATTTCTGAAGAACTAGGGGCAATTTTCCCAAAACAGATTGATAATGACAAATAATTATTGTCCAAGTCATCATCATCATCATCTCTGTCAAGCAGAAAATGATCGTCGGGCTGACCAGCACATGGTTCAGGCTCAGTCAAATCAGTGCCGTGGCTGCCGACAGCAGTCCCCGACGACATAGGTAAAGCG